GCTTCATCAAAAATCCTTTAACGAAAATGTGATATGAAAGAGACCCGTCCTTCCTTAAAATTCCTGTCTGTCCTGTGCCTCGAAGGCGCTCGTGGTAGTATGGTGCAGTGGTTAAAGTGTCGACACTATATGCTGCACCACCTGGGCTCGAATCTCGCTGGGGTGCTAAGAGGCCTAGGCGAGGTTGAAAATATAATTCACTCTGGATGGGAATGCCGTTTGAAAGGCAATGTGAATGTGAAGACAACTCATACCATTGTTGAAAAATTTAACTTCTAGTCCCTCATCACCTTAAACGAAATAGGCTGTATACAGTTCCTATTTAAGTCGAAAGTTTTAGTCTGACACTGAAAATTTAAATAACTACTATGGCAGAGGATTTTGGACAAGGTGCCTTTATCTAGGTCTCTTTGACGATAATAATAAGTTGCGAAAACGAGGTCAATTACTTCTTTGCATCGAAAGTTCTATTGATGTTAGAGTACCTTTAATTTCATTTGAAGAGGCGAGTGGAAGGGATTCTTAGGTTGGCCTCGCTAGAATCTGTAGGGGGGATTGCGATGGAGCCGTGATTGTAGATTTGTGCGAATAGGCCCTCGTCGCATTGCCCTAAGACCCCGATGAATCCTTGCAGGGCGATGCACCGAGGATCTACTCGCACAAATCTACAATTACTGCTCCAAGAAAGTCCCCCTACAGCTTCCAGCGAGGCCAACTCACGAACCCCTTCCACTCGCCTCTTCAAACGAAATTCAAGGTACTCCAACATCAATCAATAAAGGGAGTCTTCGAAACCCAGTCTTTCTACATACCTCCAAAAGTTATATTGTTTGCACACGCTTGCTGTACCTTTAATGTCTTCTATGAATGTGTATTAGGAGTAAATATTACCAGTCACAGCTCATTAATTTGAGAGAGGCAAATCTACTGTTGACAGTGAAGATGTGAAGACCAAGATGTTGTGGCCTCGGGTATGGTCGCAGTCTCCTTTCGACTTATAGAAG